AAAAAAAAAAAAAAAAAGATAAAATGTACTTAAGTACCTAATATTGCATGTGACACTACACATAGTTTACCCTCAAAATATTTAACTAGACACATACATACGTTCAGAAGATGATGTAGCAACTCAAATGTTTAAGGAAAAGTAGATTTATCTTAGGCATAATACCTGTTCTTCTTCATTAGTAGCAGCTATGTACCCCATAAGACTTTGTATCTCTTCATGAGATCCACCTTTGCACAGAAAATATTTAATTAGTCCATACAAAGAAGTCCTTATTGTTCGAATGTCATCTAGAGATAGCTCATTATATTTACAACCATTCCTGAAAGAGAAAACAAGGTATAAAAATTGAAATTTTAATTTTTACATTTCCTTCTTTTTGAGATGGAGTGTCACTCTGTTGCCCAGACTGGAGTGCAGTGGCGTGATCTCGGCTCACCGTAACCTCCACCTTCTGGGTTCAAGCAATTCTCCTCCCTCAGCCTCCTGAGTAGCTGGCATTACAGGCATATGCCACCACACCTGGCTAATTTTTGTATTTTTAGTAGAGACGGGGTTTCAACACGTTGGCGAGGCTGGTCTCAAACTCTTGACCTTACGATCTGCCTGCCTCAGCCTCCCAAAGTGCTGGGATTATAGGTGTGAGCCACTGTGCCCAGCCTAATTTTTACATTTCTATATTTTCTATATAAAAGAATTCATAGTGTTAAAAAAATATTTCCATGTAATTCTGAGATTCATGGTAACTCTGGCTTGCTTTTCTTTTTAAGGAAAATCTTCTGAGTTAAGAGTTTCAGGGAATAAAATAGTTCATGTGAATACAACACCCACTGCATAGCAGACATAGTTTAAGTGCTTTACATTATTAACTAATTAATTTAATCCTCAAAACAACCAAAGGCGGTAACAGTTTTCTTACCTCCTATCAAAAATGAAGAAACTCAAGCACAGAGAAGTTGAGTAATTTGCCTACAGTTGCACAATTAATGAAAGCCAGATTCAAACCCTGTGTAGCGATCCACTATTCATTTTAACCTCCACTCTATCCTACCTCTCTCCAGTTAAAACATACTAGAATCGCTGGTAAAGAGAAAGTCTACAGTCTACACATTCCATCAAGTAGCAGAAAGAAAACAATATATCAAAGTGAGAAGGAACAAGGGCATCATACCCATAATAAATCCTAAGTGTATCTAGGAGAAACTGCACACCATACTTCTTTCGGAAAACTCTCCTGCTGTCTTTAATGATGGTTGAAAGATACTGTATGTGACCTAAAACAGAAAGTTCAATGGTAAGTAATTCAGCTAAAACAAAGTCAATAGGTAGTTATAAATTTCTAAAACAACTATAAAGTTTTTATCTGAAAGCCTGCTCTTACCAATTCGAAAGGGAAAATCTCCACGGTTCCAAATACGAAAGTCAAAGAGTAAATACTGATACATTTGTTGCAGGAGCTGCATATTTTTCTCTAATGATACTTGTTCAATTAGTAACTGAACTGCCATCAATACATTAACATCCATCAAGGTGCTTGGCACCTGAAATCAAACAGAAGAGGGTTTCATATAGTTCAGTTAAATAACTGTCATTAAGCTATAATTTTAAATCATTAATTCAGAACATCTACTAAGCATACAAATAGAAAAACCCACATTAGAAAAACAAAAACTTAAGTATTGGTTTTTCTGATATTACACCACAGTATATTCTCCTACTGTCATATTCCTAAAATAGTCTTATATTTCTCAATATCCCAAATACCAAAGCTATCAAACAAGGTTGTATACATCAAAGATCATACACTATTACATAAAATAAGTATTTCTTATATAAGATGATTCCATGCAAGTTTTTAAAAGCTGCCTGTGAAACAAATTATATCCATTAATAAAACCCAGGTTGTAATAATCCTTAAAAATATATTGATTAGGAAGAAAAAAATCCCAACATCAACTGCAAATCACAATCATTAGTTACATCAACACAACGTTAGACTGGCTCACCTTCTGAAGTAAAGTACCAAGAGTTGCAACTCCATGGGAGTGAATAAGATTGTCCTGATTGATAGGATGTCTCTGAATAAAATGTTTCACAATCAAGATAAATGTTGCAACTAGGTTTCTCTCTAGTCTTGACTCTGTGGAATCAGGAACATATTAATTATCATAATTACTCTAATCATTTTTATATCACATTTTCTATATCTTAATGCACACTGTTATACAAAGTAGAAATCTGGTTCAGCAGTCAGCTTCCAACGCTCTATTGTACAATAGAATCAGAAAAAGCAGCAACTGCAATATTGTATATTTATGTGCACATATTTTCTCTACCACAAATTTAACAATGTGGTCATATTTCCACTAAGAGTATAAGCTAAGGATATTGGAGATCAATCTGCAGTTTTCTGATGAAAGTATTATAAACTTTCTGAATGATATTAGTAAAAGTAGAAACAACTGCTACAGCTACAAATGGTTAAGTTTCTTCCGAATGACAGTAAAACATTTTCATCTACTTCTCAATTAACTTTCAAATTTCTCAATGACTATTTTGTGTTAATTTCATCTTAATACCTGAGGCCTTTGTGGAAGTCAATACGAGCCAATCTCCTTCAACAGGTGTTACTGATTCAGGAACGGTGCTTTCATTCTTTTCTTCAGGAATCTGTCCTTCACTAAAGTGGCTGATTTGTTCCAATAAAGGAAAGAGTACATTTAACCCGCCTATGCAGTTTATGATATCCTAAAGGGAAAATTATAATGTTTAAATCTTATAAAACAAGGACAATTTTGTCATTTAATATCTTCACATGTATGAAGTTA